GGGAGAAGAACTGACGCTTTTATTCAAAATCAAAGGTCAGGACTCCCCAATTTGCTTGACTACCATCACAGCTTACTTCCGACAACACTTGGAGTTAGAGGTACCGTAAAGTAAAATGCATGGCGAAGCGAATAAAACGTGACTAGCGGTGGTATCAATACCGACAAAAAAAATGACAACTTCAATTCAACACAGCATTATCAACAAAAGAAGAACATCCACTTTTCTTGTGTTTCACATTATCTTTTTCAACCTTGGTAAAAAAATCTAGTGCTTTCTTTTAAAACATAAATCCAGAAAAATCCCTAACATTTCTACTATAAAGACAAAGCATTCATTTCAAAATGTTTTACCAATTCTCCGTCCAAAGAGGGTTAATACCATTGTCCATTATATGTCTCAGCTACTCTGAGCTACCGGCATACACTGACACAATAATACTGCCCATCACACATTCCAAAACCTATAGAAGGTTGTTCCTTTTATCAATAAATAAAAATCAAACGCTTACAAGCAAGCTAGTCCATATAAAAAGCACAAAGAAATACAATGAAACATTTTATTTTCATAAACTGAAAAAATAAACGAAAGACAAAGCAATTTTTGCTGCATTGACTGCCAAAAGGATTGAAAAAGACAACAGGAGAAGGAGATAGTTGCTCCTAAGCAGTTTTGAGAGTGTTATAATATTTTTTTCTTTCTGTATTTTATAACAAAAATAAAAACTGAGCAAGTGCTTCGTGAATAGCACTTGGATAATTAATTAAGAAAGTCATAGATCTACCACATAAGATAACAATTTGAACATATCTGTTTCAAAGCAAGACAGTTGTGTGACGGTGGTACAGAGAAAGCGAGAAATCTACGCACGACGGCACTTTCTCAAACAGGAAAAAACGTCCTCCAAAGGTTAAGAAAGTCGTCCACCAAGCCCAAAGCTCGTGTCGTGTCCTACGCCGTCAGACGAGATCTGAGGTCATGTGACGACTTATGCCGTCAGGAGTTGTTTGAGCTCTCCGTTCTTGTCCTTGGCCACCACATCGTCACCGCCGCCGATGAACTTCTGGTTCACGAACACACGGGGGACCTGGCAGGAAAGAAATAAAAAAGTCCAGATTTTAAAATGCACATAATTAAACAATTTCTCTCACTTTGTTTTAGTAATAAATAGTTTTACGGTGCTTGCAACACAATTCTAAATAAGGTCACATCAGTGCCAAATATTTGGGGGG